TGTAGCCGCCGCAGCTGTGGAAGCTGCTGGCAAGCCTCCGGTTATCAAGAACCTCCCAGAAGTGCGCGTGTTGGGACTGCGAGCTGTGATCCCCAGCTACCGAGCACAAAGAACGCTCTGGGATCAAGTTCTCGCTTTCTTCAGAGCCCATGGCCTCGATATCGCTGGACCATGTTTGACAATCTACTACGACCAAGGCTTCAAGGAGAAAGATGTCGACGCTGAGGTGTGTCTCCCGATCGCCCAGGACGCCAAAGTCGATGAAACTGCGGCGTCTGCGTCGTCCATTTCGGTTCGCACACTGCCGGTAGTGCCACGAGCTGCGTCAATCGTTCATCTGGGATCGTACGACGCACTGGCCCCTTGTTACATGAAGCTGTACGAGTGGATTGACAAGCAAGGTCTTCGTCCTAACGCACCCGTGCGAGAGATTTACCTACGTATGGACATCCAGGACGTCAGTGAGAAATCGTTCGTGACGGAGATCCAGCAGCCTGTAGGCTGAGAAAAGAGCACTTCTCTTCTCCAAGGCTTAAGACCAAACGTATATTGAGTTAAGTAGCGAAATGTCCTTCGATTCAAAGTATTTTTTTCTCTCAATTGCGTCCACAGATCAAAGGATCTTTTTAGGCAACAGGCAGTTGGATTTCCGTCACGCTGTCCTGGTCTTCCTCTTCGTTGCCAGTCGATCTCTTCACGTATACCTCACGTGAAGGTCCAGCAGGTGTGAGCTTCTCGGAGTGGATCCAACCGAAAAACGTCTGGTACGCGGACATGTACCCCTCACACGGTCCAGTGTACACCATGACAGCAGCTTGATCCACTGCAGGCACCTCGCGAACGCTGAAAGGCGCTTCTTCCGGGATTTGAGCGTCGTCCGCTATGGGGAGACAGACTTCCACCTCCACGTCGGTTTGTCTGTCGTCTTTAGTGTAATTGATGGCAAATGTTGCTCCAGTGACCACGACGTGATGAGTTTTGGCAAACCCAAAGATCTTCTCCCAGAGACCTCCTTGCGCTCGGTAGTTTGGGAGAACAGACCGCAGCGACAGCACTCGCACTGCGGCCAGGCTCTTGATCGTAGGCGTCTCCGTCGTCATTGAGTTCTCGAGATGTCTCTTCGAACAATGGAAGAAAATGAATAAATTACCGGAGCTCGCGCCAAAAATCTCAACTTCCAGATTGGAAATGTCGAGTTGGCGGGAGACGCGCTGAGTGCGGTAATGCATCAAGTCTGTCACTTGCGAATTTGCATCATTGGGTCTCTTTACAAAAGGCAAGACGGATGCGCACTTCGTTCACAGATGCCGAGGACAAGCTACTCGTACAGATCGCCTATGAGTTTGAAAAAGAAGGTATTCGAGTGACATGGAGCTACGTGGCACGGAGGATGCGCACAATGCGGCCATCAAACGAGCTCCGTATCCGACTGGCCAGCTTAAAGCGAACGTACGGGAAGTCGTTACATGACTTCCCACGTTGCTTCTTCGCAAGCTCCAATGGCACTGCATTGTTGAGCAGAAGAAGGCCGAGTGGTGGACGACAAGGCTCTGGTACACGGGCTATTCAACGTGGCCTCATTGCCACAGAAGCTGGCCTTGAAGACTGTGAAGTTGCAGGCGAAGGTATGCGAGACCACTGTGGTGCTCCAGGCATTCGTGGATGACTTTGTGGTGCTTCTGTTGTTGTAGGCGGTGATGGCAGCGAAGATGCTGTGCGTGGTGACAACGGCCATGACGACGCAGGTGAAGGTGGGCACGGGCGACGTGGTGTTCATTGGGTTTCGTGCCTTACGTTGATGTTCTGCTGTTGCGATAGGTGGTGTTGTGCGAGGCGTTGGAGGGTCACGGCAAGGCGCTGCTGGTGGCCGTGATGGCACGTCTGGAGTGGTTGCCGTCGAACCCGGTCGTAGCAGTGCTACACTTAGCGGTGCTGAAGCTATTACCGCGGTTGGACAAATTTTCAGCAGAGTCACCGCTACAGATGTGAGGCAACAGTCGGGACGATCACAGGATAATGCTGGCGAGCTGCTTCCTGTTGGAGTTTTACGTCTCATCGAAGTGTTCGAACCAGTGCGAGAAAGCGACGTATTTCTTGACATCGGAGCTGGAGTTGGCAAT